CGTCCACGGGCCTCTGCCCTGCATGGAGGTAGAACAGGCCATGGGGCCAGCCCAGTGGCGCAGCAGTTAACTGCGCACGTTCCACTTCTCAGTGGCCTGGGGTTCACTGGTTTGGATCCCAGGTGCGGACATGGCACTGCTTGGCAAGCCAGGCTGTGGCAGGCATCCCACATGTAAAGTAGAGGAAGATGGACATGGATGTTAGCTCAGGGCCTGTCTTCCTCAGACATTAGAGGAGGATTGGCAGCAGTTAGCTCAGGGCTAATCTTCCTCAAAAAAAAAAAAAAAGAAAAGAACAGGCCTGGCTGCTGCCCTGACATTCCTACAACTCATCATGGGTTAGGATGTTGTCCTCAGAGGCCCTTGTTGAGATCACCATCATCACCATCATCATCATCACCTTCAACATCACCACCATCATCATCACCACCGCCATCATCATCCTGACAGCGAACGTTTATTGGGTACTTACTGTGAACCAGGCCCCATGCTCAGCATTTACAAGCACTGTCTCATTCACTTGCTCAGCAATTCTAGGAGGTGGGTATGATTCTTATCCCCACTTCATATATGAGCAAGTGAGGCTTAGAGAGGTTAAATGACTTGCCCAAGGTCACACAGCAAATAAGTAAGTAAGAGAGTCCAGACAGGTGTGGCCCACACTGGAGGCTGAGTCTTGACCACCTGGTCTATTGCCTGAACAATCCCTTATAGGTGTGGCGGAATTCCAGAGTGTGTACAGTTTATAAGGCTCTTCCACATCCATCATCTCTCTCGGCTCTCACATAATATTGATGGGCAGGCATTGCCCCGTTGCATAGCCTGGTAGAATGAGACCCAGAGAGGGTAAGTGAGTTGCTATAGACATATGGCAGACAAGGGCCAGAGCCAGGTCTTCTGACCCAACCCATCCTCTCATTAGCTTGGTGGGGGGGGGGGCTGCCAGGCAGAGGGAGGCGGGGCTGAGGGAGCTAGAGGTCCATGCAGTGGTCCTGGGGCACTGCCGAGGGGAAGAGAGAGAATTTTGCCCCAAAGGGGGCAGCAGGTGTCTAAAAGAGAAGGAAAAGGAGACAGAGGAGATCTTTGTTCACCTCCGATCACCTAGGATCTGGTTCTGCCATCAGACCCCTCCTGCTGACGTTCTCAGGAAAGCGCGGGGTGGGAGCAGGAGGCTCCAGCGGATGCAGACTGGAGCCCAGCTGTGCATTCGCTGCCTTCCTCCCAGCCAGGCCCCAGATCCCAGGAGAAGAGCAGAGGCCGCGCCGAGCCTTCAGGCTTTGATAGCAGCAGTGGCAGTTACAAGACCCCTATTAAACTCCATGTGGCAGAGGATGGTGTGTTTTGGAAGTCACCTCCTGGCTGGCTGCAGCCTGCCCTCCCCTTGTAAATTCCACAAACATCCAGGTGATGAAAGAGGGGATCTCTCAGAGGCAGAACACGAAGCTCTTCAAAGAACGCTTTCAGTCAACGCTGGGGAGAGGAGAGAGGACTTTCTTTTGGAGGGAATGTATTTATACACGCCTGTGCGTGCACACACACATGCACAACACGACCAGGAACATAGTGAAGCACAGAGAACTCTCTGCCAGTTCCTCTGACTAGGCTTCCGTCTCTTCCTTCTCTGGCTCTGGGCATCCTTCTCTTTTCTGGTTTCCCAACCCCCGGGGCTACACTTCCAGACCTGCTCACTCCAGATGGTTTTGCATCTTCCTGACCTTTCTGGATTTCCTTCCCCAAAATAAAATGTCCCTGCCTTGAGTCCCTGTCAGCTGCTGCTCTTTGCTGACTAGTCTGATAAAGAGTTTCCTCCTCAGAGCTCATTCTCCTCGACTGCTTGATAACATTCAATTCTGCTGACCGCCATCTGATCTTCTAGAGCAAAATAGGGGTCAATTAGACTAAGCTCTGCCTCTTGTAGCCAGGCAAAATGAAAGCTTGGGGTTTAGGAGCTGGGAAAGAGCTTAGAGAGCGTCTAGTTGAACCCTTTCATTTTACAGTGGAGGAAACCAAGGCCCAGAGAGTGGAATAACATGCCCAAGGTCACACTGAGTGTGTGGCCCAGCTGCGATGACAGCCAGGTCTTCTGATGTCCTGTTGACTGCTCTTTCCACTGGAGAGCACAGCTTCCACTCCCCACAAGTGGCCAGAGGTGGAGAAGGCCTTGAATGAGCTGCCATGGTTCCCACACTTCCCTCAGCTCCCACTCTGGCAACTGCTAGCATTTTTACACTCCCAGCCCTCTTTGGTTGTTAGTTTGGTTTCATGGCACATTATCTCCTCATCTAAGACTGCTTTATAGCGTAATGTCTTTTTAACTAAGGTAAAATAAAATGCTTGCACGTCTTCTGGAATAACCTGATCCCAGGAGGTTGTCGCTGATGCCCTGGGGTGCACTGAAGCCGGGGTAGATAATTACTGTTCTATACTGAGTCCATTAAAGATAGAAAACAACCACCACAAAACCCCCATATTTCTTTCAGCTTGTCATTGCCCTTTACTGTCTCTTTCCTCCTTCCCTGCCTCCCCTACCCCAACTTACTCTTGAGTGGGGACAAAGCAAAGAGAGACAGGCTGGGGGCAATGAGTCAGCATTGTCCACAGGAGGCAGCTTTTCTGTTTGGCCCAGTTTTGGAAAGTGTCTATTTGTGAATAGAGAGAAATGCCCTGTCTGAGCTTGAGGCAAACCCTCCCTGGGTACGTGGTCGTTCTGCACGTCCTCAGGAAAGGGCCCTCCTGGGCTGCTGTCCGTCTCCAGCTTTCTCTCCATGTGGAATGGCTTTGCCGTAGTGTCATTGTTGGCCAACTTTTATAAACTTGTGAAATGATTTCCAAATTTTAATCCAAAGTTCGCCCTTTTTGGAGGAAAGCTGTGTGAGGGGAAAAGAAACTTGGGAATCGAGTTATTGACTTTGGTTAATTATTTGGACATATATATATATATTTTAATAACTAGATAAAGGACTGGATGCCATGTTTACCTCTTGCCCATTTTATCGGTTTTGCTTTTCCTAATATTTCCTTCACTTCCTTCATTCCAACCCATTTCATTCTTACCTCCTCCTCCCAAGTTTCGAGCAGGGCTGGGATGCTGGCTTGCCATCAGCCCGCACACATGGGACTGGCGTTGCACCTGCTGGCATTTGTGGTTGATTTCGGTTGCTTTACAGCCGTGCTCGTGAGCCGAACTCAAGTCGGTGTCACTGTCATTGAGGGTCAGAGGTTCTGAAAGGCCCTACCACTCTCCAAACGGCCCCTCCAATGAAGGTGCTGACCATCCTCTAATCAAACCTCACTCTCTGACCCAAGGGGTGATTCACTTGATGGCAGGAATCAACATTCTCTGGGGGAAACACAGACTGAGCCCAACGAGTCAGTCACATTTTTCGTTTTGTATTAAAAATCTCTTACATCTGTCCTCTTGTTTCTTTGAAGCCTGGCCTCAATATGTAAGGCCCTGAGTTTGCTAACCTATGCTGGACCACGGGGCCGCTCTAGCAGATGGAACGTGAATTAGGAGTGGAGGTTTGGGGTTGAGATGTGAAAGAAACTGACCTTTGCCAATGGATTTATCCTTCTTGTACACAAATCACAAATTCCCTCATGTGTAAAATGAGGGCCAGCATGTCTGTCTCCCTACTTTCTTTGCAATGATTTAGGAAGAGTCATGGGGATTCTTCTAATCCACCAGCATTAGAAGAGGAGTTAAAGAAGCTGAAATGTAAACCATTGGAAGGCAGTCTGAGAGACATGCCTAGGCTATAGACATGGTTCTTAAGTATTGTTACAAGTCAGAATCACCTGGGCAACTTACTACAAATACAGATTCCTGGATCCTACCCCAGAGAGTCTGGTCCAGGGGGTCTGGGGTGAGACTCAGAATTCACATTTTGATAAGCCCTGAAGGCAATTCTGATGCAGGTGGTCGTGGACCACAGTTTGAAAATCACTGATAGAGAATTTCTGGGAAGCATCCTAGCACTCTCTTAACCCCCATCCTTGGTTTAAGAATGAGATGAAGGAAGCCTGGAGAAGTGAAGCAACTAGGCTAGGTTAGTTAGTTAGTTAGGGCAGGGCATGGACCAGAACTGAAAGCCAGCTGTGGGCGTTTCCCATCGCTCTGGGTATAGGGGAGCAGACCAATAGGAAGCGAGCTTGCTTTGCAACAGGGTGGATTTAAATTAAATATAAGGAAGAACTTCCTGACAGAGAGGAGTATTGAGGAAGCCTATGGCATCTCCTTTTCCAGAAGGCCTTAATTCAGAACAGACTCTCATCAGATGTGGGCACTTGAGATGCAACATAGAGGCAAAGAGAAAGGGAAGACACATCTTCAGAACAAATTCTGGTGATTTTGCATGAAAGGGACCAGAGCCCCTTCTTTTAATTCTCCTGTGGCACCTGAATTTTAGCCATGACAACAACTTAATTGACCGATGGTCAAGGAGGACTGAGTTCCAGTCCCAGCTTTATGACATTGGGCCACTTGCTCAGTTTCTTGGTCTCCATTTCCTCACCATGAAGTGAATGTGGTCACATCAGATCGTTTCTTATGTCTTATGTGTTCATCATTTTTATCTTTCACTGTAACTCGCCCCACCGAGTGTCTTACATGACAGAGAGACTCTGAAGTTTGTTGATTGAATGAATTAATATGTTGAATAAAAAAACTACCCAATATTGAGAATCCGGGAGCCCTATCTGCCAGTTCTCTCTCCCCTCAGGCAGTTCGAGTCCATCTCTGAACAGCCTGTAGTGATCCCCCTTGCTTTTTATAATTGTTTATATGTTTAGAGGGGTCTAACTTCAAAAAGCCATGAGTTATTGCTTCAAGATCCATGTCATTTCGTGAGTGATCATTCAGACCTGGGATATGCTGTGGCTGCTTAGGATCCCTCCCCAAGCAGAAAAGCCAGACCAGGCTAACGTCTCCCCATCAGTGACGGCCTCTGTGCCCCATCTTACATGGCCACCCTCTGATGGTGTCTCTCTGTCCCTTTCAGAAAGCAGATCTGGCTGTGGCAGGCCTCACCATCACTGCTGAACGGGAGAAGGTGATTGATTTCTCGAAGCCGTTCATGACTCTGGGAATTAGCATTCTTTACCGGGTTCATATGGTAAGAGACTTATTTTATAAGCACTTATGTCATTAAAGTTATTTGCATGCAAACACTGAGTTACATGGTAATAATGAATGACTCATGGAAATATTTAGATTTCAAGACTTAAATGCGAATGTGCTGGGCTATTTTTGCCCCCATCAGCTGTGCGGACTTGCAAAGAGGAAGAATGGAAAATTCACACTTGTGGGCTTTCCAGTAAAAATTGTTTCTGCCTCACTGAATAGGGATGGCCAAGAGTGACTATTCAACCCTTGGTGCATAGTGTGTTGGCGATTGGCCCTGTCGGTCACTCTGCCTCCTCCTTGGGGCTGGAGCCTCCAGCCCAGATAAGTCTCCCAGCATTCTGAGGCCTTCCCCGACTCCCAGGTCCAGCTCTGCTCCCTCTGAGCATTGCATCTGGTGAGGGAATGTAGACTCCCTCTTGATTATCTGTTCTGGTGAAGAGAGAGCAGATCACCTCATGTCGCTTATACCTGGCCTGTCTCCTCTTCTGAATCCCTTACTAAAAAGAATTCTCTGGTTAGGTTGGCTAGAGCGAGTAGAATAAGTGCCAAAATGAGTTTGTGAAAGCACACCAATGGGCCGCAGAGGATGGACGTGACATCAGAGTATACTGGCTGGTGGCGTGAGCATCGGGAGAGTAACCCTGGCTGTCCCTCATTCACAAAGTGGATCGTCATTACATTGCCAGCACGTGGTTGACTTGACCTTGTTTACCTTACTGAACCAGGAGAGCCTCCCGCTCATCCTTTCTTCCAAACTGGCTCTAAGTGCACAGCTATTATGTGGGTTTCCCCAATACTCTAGTCACTTTAGCTGTCCAAGGTCACACCAACATGCTGTATGCCAGTGCATAACCTGGCACCACAAGGCTGCCCAACAGGGAAGGAACCAAGAGCTCACCCCACCTGCCTGCTGAAAAAGTGACCCTCCAGCTCTGACCCCTTCCTGGGCCCAAACCCCAGCCCTGGGGAAAGGGGATTGTCTGTATTCACAGCCCCAACCTGGGCTCATGTAGCTGGCAGCTGCTGGGGCAACAGGAACTGCGGCCCAATTCTCTGGGAGGAAGGTCTCCTGGTCGCAGAGCCCCCTCAGGCGGCTAGGAAGAGTGCTGTGCTGTGCTGGGGCTCGGTGTCTATTGCGGTCACTGCCTGGCTTGGGGAAGGGGGCCACGTCTTCTGAAAGAAGAGACAGCATCAAAATCCCAAGCTCCCCAGGCTAAGACAGAAAGAAATGTGAGGATTTGGTCACAGTCGACGCTGTTATTGATGTGTCTGTCTTGTGGATTAAGGGGGATTTTGATCCCTCCTACTCTTTTCCACGATGCTGATAGCTCCCGTTCATTGAGCACCTCCTATGTCTTTGACACTCCTTCAGGCATTTGTGATGGGGGCTGTTATTATGGGTTGAACTGTGTTCCCTCAAAAGATATGATGAAGTCCTAACCCCCAGGACCTGTGAATGTAACCTCATTTGGAAATAGGGTGTTTGCAGATGTAATCAAGTTAAGATTTGGTCATACTGGGTTAGAGTGGGCCCTAATCCAATTACTGGTGTCTTTCTAAAAAGAGAGACATTTGCACATAGACATACAGGGGAGAAGACCATGTGAATTTGGAGGCATACTGGAGTGATGCATCTACAAGCCAAAAAACTCCACGGCTTGCCAGCACCCGCCAGAAGCTGGAAGAGACAAGGAAGCTTCCTCCCCCACAGCCACAGAGGGAGCACGGCCTGGCTGGCTTGGATTTTGAACTTGTAGCCTCCGGAACTAGGAGACAATACATTTCTGTTGTTGTCAACCAGCCAGTTTATGGCAGTTTGTCACAGCAGCCCTGGGAAACCAATACAAAAAAAAAAAAAGTTGTGTTGTTCTTACTTTAGAAATGAGGAGACAGGTGCAATCAGTTCTCAAAACTTGGACGAGGCCGTATACAAACAAGTGAAAGAATGGGGTTCAAACCCAGGCATGGTGTGACTGGAGCCTGTGCTTTCTCTCTGACGCCAGCGCTACCCTCATTCATGGGATCTTTGAATAACTTGTCCTGTAAGGTGCCCTGTGCACCTTTTCTCATTGGTCTTCACGGCTGTTGGTCTCCTAACTCTCAAGACGGTGTTCTTATCATCAGTACAGCTGTCAGTCCTCCCTAGGCGGTTTTCCAACCAGCACCGTTTCTTGAGCCCACCGCCCTCTGCTTCCCCAGCTGACCCCTGAGGGAGCATCCAAAGAAATGGAGACACACAGCCTTCCTCCAAACTCTCCTCCTGTGGCCAGGCCATGGAACCAAGCTCTGGCCTTGATTCCTTGATTAATGCCGAGGGAAGGCTTTCCCCACTCATGACCTGATGGACCGTGAGGAGGCATGTGGGTGAAGGCACCTGATCCCAAGAGTTTCCAATACCTGGGGGCATCTGCTGGTATGCCACCCTCACCACCCAGGGCACCACTGTCCTGAATATTGACTCTGGCCAGAACCAAACTCCAATGCACCAATCCTCTGGACATCCTTAATTGGATTGCTGGCCAAATGTTTCCTACCACCCACAAACCTATTAGCGTCTTAGTTCCCCTACATTAGTTCCTGGGAGGTGAAGCTTTATGTGTCAGCTTGGCTAAGCTATGGTGCCCAGATGTTTGGTCAACCACTAGTCTAGCTATTCCTGTGAAGGTATTTTGTAGATGTGATTAACATCTACCATCAGTTGACTTTCAGTAAAGGAAATTACCCGTGATAATGTTGGTGGGCCTCACCCAATCAGTTGAAGGCCTTAAGAGCAAAAACAGGTTTCTCAAAGGAGAAGGAATTTCCCTCAAGACTATCACGTAGAAATCCTGCCTGAATTTCCAGCCTGCCCTACAGATTTTGGACTTACCAGCTCCCGCAATCACATGAGCCAATTCCTTAAAATAAAATCTCTTTATACACACATACACATACACACGTGCACACACACACACACACACACACATATATCCTACTGGTTCTCTCTGTCTCTCTTGAGAACCCTAACTGATACAGTTCCCCGGTCTGGTCAGGATTCCTCCCCTCCTCTAGCCTCCATGCTGAGGCACTAGTGTGCCACATGGATGCTCAGATCTGATTCATAACAGGGGGCCCAGCTGAGCAAAAACTGAGTGCTGGCACGAACAGCTTACACTAAGCAGAACTGACTGTTTGTACATTTATTCAACAAATATTTCTTGAGTGCATTCTGCGTGTGAGGCACTAGGCTTAGAAAGTACCAAAAAGTCAGCTGGGGAGAGAATAATCCAGAATCGACTAAACCAGGAAAGAGCTGGTGAGAACAAGTCTGAGATGAACTTTGCTGCATCTGAAACAAAAGAAGCATTAGCAAGAACAGCTAATGCCAGAGGATTGCTCTGTAGAGCTCACCATGAGAGCCTAACCCTAAAATTACATAGAGAAGCTCCCTCTAGTATAATAGCGTTGTTCATGAAATTAAAGTTGAATACTGGGTGTTAATTATTTTGTCAATTTTCTCTAATTGCTAGTTATCTGTGAGCAAAAATATGGTTAATTTCATTTAGTTTATAATCTATAATGACCTCGAACCTCTATTTTAGTCTATAACTGAGGTCACCTGAGTCATGAGCGATGATTACCAAAAAGCGAGCATCTGGTGATCATCAAACCTGTGCGCAAAAGTCATAATAATTAACCCAAAGTATAAATGCCTCATTAGAAATCACTGCAAAACCCTCCAAAATAGTAAGTAGTGGCAGGTATGTATCTCTGAAGGCTGAAGATAATCAGAAATAATTTGTGAATTTCCAGCAATCTAAGATTATCTGGGATTTTTCATGAACATGGATCGTCAAGAGCTGATCATGGGATATTTTCCTTCTTCCTAATCTTGGAGTATAATTTCTGTTTCTGCTCAGGCATCTATAGGACCAAAATCAGAAGAATGTTTTGCTCTTCTGGCCACCTACCCCCTGCCACTCAGAGGCTGGCTGAGGAGTCTGGCCTTGCCGTTTGTTACACATGCTCCCTCCTGCTCCATACAACTCTCTCTGTTCCTAGAGTCCAAGTCACCATTTCTCCTGCTGCTCCTCCTGCCTCTCTGATCACTGCCTTCTCCATCATTTCTGTTGATTCCTCTCTCTCCTTCTGCCCCTTAAATGTCCATGGCCCTTTTCTCTTCTCACTCTCCCAACTCTCTACCTGGGTAATCTCACCCACTCCCAAATCTGTAAATCTAAACCTGCCTGCTCCCCTGAATCCCAGAAGCATATTTCTAACACATTTCTAGATGTCTCCACCTTGACGTCTCACAGGCACTGCAAAAACATGGCAAACTGCACTCAGTATGTCTCTCCCTCCTCCCTTCTGCCACATCTCAGGTAGTGGCATCTCCATCAGTTACCTGAGCTGCCATTCCCTTCTCTTACCTGGCACGTTCAGTGGGTCAGCTCACCTCCTAAATAGTTCTCAAATATACTGTCTTTCCCCACTTCCTCTGCCCTGATTCAGGCTCTCCTTATATTTAACCCGAACTCTGCCATTCCAGTGGCCTGTGTCCTCCTTGAGGGCAGGGTTTTTCTTATCCATTAGTATCCCCATCAACGGGCCACAGTCATTATAAGCATTCACTAAGAAATGGTAGAGTGAAAATCATAGACTCTGGAGGCTGCCTGGTCTATTCCCAGATCCGACACTTACTAGCTGCATGTCACATGTCTCAGTTTCTTCGTCTGTAAAAATGGGTTTTCATGCAAATTTAATGAGGATGCATATGTAATGCACTTATAACAGTGCCTGACATATGCACAATAAAGTACTAGCTATTATATTTAATAAATGTGTGTGAATTTCTCCCCACTGCAGCCCATCCTTGACCCATACTGCAGCCTGAGAGTTGTTTGTTTTTTTAATTTATTTTTATTTTTTCTACAAATGTAATTCTATCAGCCTCCTACTTAAAATCATTCACTGGCTATCCAATAAAAAAATCCACTTACAAGAAAAAGG